TTATACTTCGGAAGTTGGAAGTCTCATGTATGCTATGATGTGTACTAAGCCAGATATTAGCTACATCGTTGGCTTAGTAGCTAAATATCAAAGTAATCCGGGACGGGAACATTGGTCTACGGTGAAGCATATACTCAAGTACCTGAGAAGTACTAAGGAGTACATGTTAGTTTACCGTGCAGACATCTTGTTACCTCTGGGTTACAGTGATTCTGATTTCCAGTCAGATAGGGATGAAAGTAAGTTAACCTCAGGCTATGTGTTTACCTTGGGAGGTGGAGCCATTTCATGGAGGAGTGCTAAGCAGAAATGCGTGGCAGGCTCCACCATGGAAGCCGAGTACATAGCACCCTCAGAGGTAGCAAAAGAGACAGTTTGGCTCATAAACTTCTTAGTGGAATTAGAGGTGATTTCGAGTTTGCCACGTGGTATCACAGTGTACTGATAACAGTGGAGCAGTAGCAAACTCAAGGGAACCACGAGCCCACAGAGCAAGCAAACACATGGAGCGCAAGTACCATCTGATTCGAGAGATAGTTCGTAGAGGAGACGTTGATGTTGCCAAGATTGCATCTGAAGACAACCTAGCTGATCCCTTCACGAAGAGTTTGCCGGAGAAGATCTTCATCAAACACGTCATAGAAATGGGAGTCAAGTTCATGGCGATAGGATCGACATAGTTCTTTTAGAATAATGAATTGATATGACTATACTTGTAAAAGCGAAAGCTTTGAGTATAAGTGGGAGATTGTTAGTGTTATATACTAAAAGTTTGGGTTTGGATTATATTACACTTTTACCTTTTATGAATGAAAAACGTGTTAAACTAAACAAGTTCTACATTCTGTTGTTTTGCATTAGATAGTGTGGGTCGTCATCGGGCGAACCGAAAATCATACTATCACTTACTCGCAAAACAAGAATTAATGGTTCACAACCTTGATGGACATGAACACCCCATTAGAACAGTTGTAGTGTCAATTGTATAGTTTGTCTTGACTGTTTAGTTGCACTAGTACATTTATGTATGAAACAGGATCTCAGAGAGTAACAGATTGTTTTATACTGATCCTCGTAAACAAAATAGGCCTCGGTTAATTACTGTGTGCTTTTAACCTGTAAGATATTAAACAGACATATATGTGTAGTATTTGTTACTTTGATTCTTATGGGTGAGGTTTCGTGAACTGGACCAATAGACCCTCTATCCTGAGTAACATTGCTACATGTATAATGTGCTGTTAGGATATTTACGGTCACCATGTACGTTTAGTTTGATGATGTTCCCAAAGTGAGTTCATGAAGGATTATTATGCTAATCCCTACAGGTGGATTAAATTCTGACATAGTAATAATGTGATGAACGAGCGCTAGCTTCGGTGAAATAATAATAAATTAATTAATTCTTGATTGTCAGTAATCGAATTAATTAATGGACATTATATCTTAAACATGAGGAGATAAATTGAGTAATTATTATTGGAGTCTCAATTGTAAATTTAGCTAGTGTTGATAAACGGATTTGATCAACTTTAGAAATTTAAATATCGGGGATTAATACGATATTAAAGCGATTTTATTCGTTGAATGGGATATTATTGAGAACAACCACAAGTCGGTATTTCGGACTTGAGGTCGGGTTTTGTTCATACAATGAGTCGGTTGTGAGCGCAAACCAAGGTGTTTAATGCAGAATCAAATGTGTCGGAAAAAAAAATCCTCGTATCGTGTTTAATGCCGCTATTTATAGTAACTGTGGGCTCGTCTTTTCATGAGATACGGTGGCATTTAATGCGGTGTGACAGAATAGGCCTGGCTTTCCCTGCACGTGGGTCCCATAGCAATGATGTTCTCACGTGGTCTGAGACACTTGATAGACAGGCATTAAATGCTGCCTGTCGGTACCGACGTCAGCCTTTATGTAAATCGCCTTTATTGAGGAGGTCGGCGCCTTGAAGAGGTCGATTTCTTCAGCTCGGGGAACTTTCCCTTTTCTCTTTTCGGCGCAACTCCAGACTACCTCCACGATCCACGTGTCGTTCATCCGACGTGCGAGAAGATTTTTAACAGTTAGGAAAAAAGAGTGTAATAATATTATGTTGGTGACTCATTTAATATTATTTAATTAATTAGAATAAGTAGGTTGACCCAAAAGTATTTTAATTAATTAAGGAATCATATTTTTAATCTCCTAAGGGTCCCTACTGTAGCTCTATATATCCATCATTAAGCTCATGAGAAGAGAATCCCAATCACAATTACAAACACATCGTCCGCTCCTCTCTCTTTCTCTCTCTCTCTCTCTCTCTCAGTTCTCATTCGAACTTTATCTTCTTCTTGTTGTTCGACCAGTACAAGTTGAAGAAGATGTCTGAGATATACAGTAGAAGATCCATTGGTGTTCGAGACCCGGTGATCATCTACACGAAGTCGACAATCCACGAGCCAGAGCCTGAGGACCGCCGTCCAACCCCGCCGTTAAGTCGCCGCGACCAGCCGAGGACCGCAGCTACCTCCCGCCGCGACGACGCCGTGACGTGCGACCAGCCCAGCGACCCGATCGCGTCTAGCTCGGTAGCCTCGCGTCCTACCCGGAGAGCCCGACACGCGACCCACGTTACCCGATCGTGAACCCGGTTCATTCGTTCGTGATCTCGACGTGTTCGTGTGTTGTGTACGGCCATACGGAAGATCAGCTAGATCACCAAAAAATTTAAGCCGTAATTTTACTACGTCAAACCTTTAGTTCCGTTGCGCATAGGCTTACGTTTGCTATTGAATTCGTGATTTGTACATAATGAGATCCTCATAGATCCCAACAGGTGAGTAGTCCACCGGCAAGCCAGATGGATGCAACGAGAGACGCAGATTGCCGGCGATGAAGCTAGGGTTACGGTGGGAGAGAGAAGAGAACGAATTTGGGGGAGAGAGGAGATTCCAAGAAAAAAAACAGGCTTAAGTTTATTAGATGTTGATTTTTAGTTGCTATTTCAAGTAAATATCATTGTCTCTTTATGTATTAATAGATTCCACGAATGATCCGTAGTCTCCAAATCTTTTTCCTTCTTATCTCTTCCTTTGTTAGTAGAAATCTATTAAGAGAAGGAAACGAAATAACAATAAAATTCTACCGAAAATAAAAACTAATAAATATATATATGTTCAGAAAAGCAAAATAAAAGACAAAATAAAATATGTAAAAATACGAATTCAACAGTTAATAATCTTCATAATTTATTTTTATTAAATGATTAACGATAAGAAAAATTTAAGGTTAATTAATTAAGTCGAATTAAACTTTTGAATAAACATGTTATGCTTTTATTAAAAGAACAACGCGCTACAAGTATGTAGATATTGGATTGGCATACCTCACCGCTTTATATAGAAGTGATATCTTGTTACCCAAGCTTGCCCGAATGGACTGCCCAAGTGCCCAAACTTCCCGTTCGTACTTCCCAACTGCCCTAATTGCCCAGTTATGTTAGGCTACGTGGCCCAATCCACGTTTGTTCTTATCTTAATAACATTTTTTCTTATCCTTTTGTATGTCTTATTAAACGGTCTAATCGTATGTCCAATTGGGGCTTCATCAAGCTAGATTGTCTTCTCACTATGCTCATGTATATTGTCCCTCGTGTCGATCCATCGACATGCATACCTCCAGGTTGGGTTTCTATCAGGCCATTCGAGGGCCCTAGCTCTACCTGTTGTGGATCTACTTACCAGTGAGTTCATCGTCGACCTGATGGTATAGCAACCTCTGTGGTATCTGACTTCAAATCAACCTATCTGTTTACCTGGTTCCACTGGACTGCATCTCGAATCAAGTCAATCCGGTATGATATTCCATACTAGATTTCCTATGGCATCGCTATTGAACGTTTTAAAGAAATAACAAGAACCGCATCTGGCAAGAGAAGTATTTTCTCTCTCAACAAAAATCCAAACCAAACCCCATCTATTTGAGCTTTGACAATTGAACTAATTCGCACTGTAGCAATCTTTTTTCGGTCGAACTCTCGGCCGCAAATCTTAATCTCTTTCTGGCCTCCTCTTTAGTCGGGAGATTCATTCCTCCCCGGGTCTGACGAGCACCAACGCAACCTCTCATTCTCCATGTCTCAGTATCTTTCCCGAAGAAGCTTTTCTGTTTTTTTTTTCGGATGTCTGTTGTTGGACGCTTCCAGCTATTTGGCAGCGTGTAGGGGTTGTCGGCGTCCCATGAATATGGTGGTAGGAAAGGGCTTGGGTCGGCTCTTCTTCTTCCCCTGGTCCGTGTCCTGTATTCTCTGGGGTTGGGTGTCGGCAGGGGTTCTGCTCTTTGGGGCTTTTGGAGCTGCGATAGCTTTGTGTGTTAGGGGTAAGGGGAGGAGCGAGCCTTCGTGTGTTTCTCTGTTGGGGATCCGTTGGGAAGTGGGTTCGGGCTCGGGTGTCTCGCTCCCTTCCCCACCTTCTGAACCTTTCTCAATTACCTCTTTTGTCGGGCGGATGTCGCTAGCCAACTCCTTCATGGAGAACTCCTCTGCTTCACGTGTTATCTGCTTTCTTGGTTTTGTTGTCAATTGTCGGTCTCTGGTTGGTGGTTAGGAGCTTCAGGTCTACTATCAAGGAAGGCTTTATTATAGCTATATTGTGTGTTTGTTTGTTTAGCTTTTGTGTTTGTTTTTGTGCATTTGTGTCACGTTGTGGTTTTTATTCTCTTTTTCAAGAGCGTTTATTCTCCTATTTGGGAATGTGTACTCCCCACTAGTGGGAATTTTTATTAGTTTCTTTTTCGTTTTGTGTTTGTTATGTGTTATTTAAGTTACGCTGGTTAAGCCTCTAA